TGACAGGCTCAGAAAAGTCAAAAATAGTGAGATATCTTGCAGAGGGATGCAGCACTCTTAAAATTGCAAAGCTTCTGAAGCGTGATCATCGAACAATCAAGCGTTTCATTCAAAATAGTCAACAGGGTCGCAAGAAGCGTGTGGAAAAACCAAGGCGCAAAATAACTGCCCATGAACTGAGAAAAGTCAAGCGTGCAGCTGCCACGATGCCACTTGCCACCAGTTTGGCCATATTTCAGAGCTGCAACATCACTGGAGTGCCCAAAAGCACAAGTTGTGCAATACTCAGAGACATGGCCAAGGTAAGAAAGGCTGAAAGACGACCACCACTGAACAAGACACACAAGCTGAAACGTCAAGACTGGGCCAAGAAATATCTCAAGACTGATTTTTCTAAGGTTTTATGGACTGATGAAATGAGAGTGAGTCTTGATGGGCCAGATGGATGGGCCCGTGGCTGGATTGGTAAAGGGCAGAGAGCTCCAGTCCGACTCAGACGCCAGCAAGGTGGAGGTGGAGTACTGGTTTGGGCTGGTATCATCAAAGATGAGCTTGTGGGGCCTTTTCGGGTTGAGGATGGAGTCAAGCTCAACTCCCAGTCCTACTGCCAGTTCCTGGAAGACACCTTCTTCAAGCAGTGGTACAGGAAGAAGTCTGCATCCTTCAAGAAAAACATGATTTTCATGCAGGACAATGCTCCATCACACGCGTCCAAGTACTCCACAGCGTGGCTGGCAAGAAAGGGTATAAAAGAAGAAAATCTAATGACATGGCCTCCTTGTTCACCTGATCTGAACCCCATTGAGAACCTGTGGTCCATCATCAAATGTGAGATTTACAAGGAGGGAAAACAGTACACCTCTCTGAACAGTGTCTGGGAGGCTGTGGTTGCTGCTGCACGCAATGTTGATGGTGAACAGATCAAAACACTGACAGAATCCATGGATGGCAGGCTTTTGAGTGTCCTTGCAAAGAAAGGTGGCTATATTGGTCACTGATTTGTTTTTGTTTTGTTTTTGAATGTCAGAAATGTATATTTGTGAATGTTGAGATGTTATATTGGTTTCACTGGTAATAATAAATAATTGAAATGGGTATATATTTGTTTTTTGTTAAGTTGCCTAATAATTATGCACAGTAATAGTCACCTGCACACACAGATATCCCCCTAACATAGCTATAACTAAAAACAAACTAAAAACTACTTCCAAAAATATTCAGCTTTGATATTAATGAGTTTTTTGGGTTCATTGAGAACATGGTTGTTGTTCAATAATAAAATTAATCCTCAAAAATACAACTTGCCTAATAATTCTGCACTCCCTGTAGATTTAAGAACTAGATGGCTTAATATCCTTAATGGCACGAGACAGGGCTGTCCACTCTCACCGCTTTTATATATTATGTCAGTGGAACCTTTAGCATGTAAAATAAGATAAAGCACAGGTATAAAAGGAATTTCTATCCCAAACGAAGGGTTTAAGATCTGCCTTTATGCAGATGATGTTATACTGACAATTACAGAGCCTGAACAATCATTACTGTTATTAATGCAGGAGATACTATTATATGGCGAGGTTTCCAACTATAAAATGAATATTAATAAAACACTGGCATTAACAACAAATATAGGAAACATGCGTCTAAAAATGCTAAAACAAAACTATTTTTTTAACTGGTCAATTACACAGCTTCCATATTTAGATATTCTACTGACCACAGATGTGGCTCGTTTGATGGAAATTAATTTCTTAAATCTATTAAAGGAAACAAATACATTATTAAAGGAATGGAGGACCCACAAAATATCATGGTGGGGCAGAATCAACACGATTAAGGCCTATATTGTCCCAAAATGGATCTATTTGTTCCGTATGATTCCTCTTAAAGTTCCAGTACATTGGTTAAATTTAATTCAGAGCAGTTTTACAAATTTCATATGGAAGGCTAAGAAACCTAGAATTAATTTGTTAACATTAGCGAATAAACCACATCGGGGAGGTATGGGATATCCGTTAATAAAAAATATATATCAAGCAATTATAACAATACATGCCTTGAACATACAAGCTATAGACTGCAAAGAGCAAGCGTGGTATAAACTACAAGCATATAGAGAAGGCATAGCCAATTTAGAAACAACGCTATGGGCAAAAATCAGGAAAAGGACCAATTTTCCAGAATATAAATCAAGGATCATTCTACAAACAATAAACGAATGGTATATTCGAAAAAGAAAACTGGGAATTGTAGATTTAATTCCTGACACCATTTCTCTTAGAACTGTGGAAAATATTATGATCGATATAAACTTGAAAAATTGGTATAGGGACCCAGATATATGTATTAAAAATATCTATCTTAACGACCAAATAGAAGACTTCCCTAGTTTAAAATCAAGACTGAATTTACCTTCTGGAGAAGTTTTTAACTATTTGCTCATTAAGAGCTTTCTAAAGAACCATCTTATAAATTATAATGGGGAGAAAGGAAATTTAATTTAAAAGATTCTCTCTATAGATACTACAGAAAATAAATATTCTCTAATACTTGATTTATTAAATTATGTTAATCGAGCAAATACCCCCACGGCTTTTAAAAATTGGGAGAGAGAGCTTGACACCAAGGTCGATTTCAACTTGTAGTGCCTTGCTTTTCTTAAAATTAAAAAATATATTCATTGTCTAAATGTATTGGAAAACTTTATTAACGTTAGTTATAGATGGTATATGGTTCCAAAGAAGTTGAACAAAATTTCTCAGCACAATCCCCCCAACTGCTGGAGATGTTTTAATTTGGATGGTTCTATGACACACATATGGTGGAACTGTCCCAGAATTCAACCACTATGGGACCTGGCATTTAAAATGTTTATGGCAATAAGTAATATCCAATTAAATTTTACTCCAGAAATAGCCCTATTCCACATGTATAATAATAATAAATTAGACAAGAAAAATTAAATATTAGTCACTCATTGCCTTATGGCTACTAAGTTGCTGATTGCAAAAGCTTGGAAAAAAACTGATATCCCAAATATATACCAACTAAAGGCCCAAATTCAAAACCAATTGGAGATGGAAAAGGGAGTAATCTGGTACACTGTAACATATTAAGAGAGGTGTATAATACTCTGATAACAGATATTAATCTTATGGAGGGATAGAAAATAAGGAAGGAAAAAAAGGGAGAAAGAAAGAGGGAAAGGGAAAAGAAAGAGAAAAAAAGAAGAAAAGATAAAGTGAATGTGAGAGAGGATAAATAGAAAGGGAGAAGGAAAAAAGAAAGGGAAAATAAAGGGAAGGAAGAAGGGGGAGAGTAGAAGGGAGAAGGAAAGAGGGGAAAGAGAAAGAGAAAGAGAAGAAGAAAAAAAGAAAAGAGAAAAAAAAAGGAGAAAAAGAGGAAATACGATAGAGTGAAAAGGAAAAATACATAGGTCATAAGAACTAACCCAAATTAAATTGTTGGTATGGATGAGAATTAATCACAGAAAATATAAAAATGCATGGGTAACAAGATAACCAATACAATTTCACAAAGGACTTATAAGAAATAAATAAAAAAAAGTAAAGGAGAAAAAAGAAGGAAAGAGAAGGGAAAAAGAAAAGGAAAAGGAAAAGGAGAGGAAAAAAAAGAAAGGGAAAAGAAGGGGGAAAAAGGAGAAAAGAAAAGAAGAAAAAAAAAAGAAAAAGAGAGATTTAATAACAGGAAATTAAGAAAAGGTTAATTGATAAGCCCTAAATATTAAGGTCATCTTATATATGTAACTTGTTTTATTGTATAGATATCAATGTGATTATAACAGCTTGTATAATGGTTACAATTGTAATACAGTATCCATCTGTGATTATGGTATGTTTATTGTGATGTATGATTCTAGAAGGAATCATCATTATTTTTTTTTGTTGTTTGTATATTTATGTTAAATGTTTTATGATAGATAATTCATTAAAAAAAATTAAACACAAAAAAAAAATCTAACCTCTGACCTTTCAATTACAAATCAGAGTGGGGGGCATAGTCATTATTAACTAGGACTCGCATTGTGCAAAGATTTTGTCACAACTGTCCAAAAGAGAAACATATGAAGTGTGCGAGGGAGACCAGAGTTTGAGGTTTGGCCTAATACAGGATATCCTGAAAGAGGATATAAAGCAGGCAATAATACAGAGAAATTGTTTAAAATTTCTAAATCAGCCCTATGATTGACTTTGCATTGGAATTACTTTCTTTGCATCCTACTTTGAATGAATTAAAATTTGAGGACATCTACTATGTACAGAAGACAGGCATTTCCGTGAAGGTAAATGCCTACATTTACATTCATGAAAAGAAATGTAAAAAAAAAAAACAAAACATACTTTCTTACAGTATCAACACCACCTTCTTGGTTACTTTCACTTTATCGAAAATGTGTTTCTTTTTTTAAATATGATTTTTATTAATGTATTTGCAACGTATTTTCAACAAAAATAGGCAAGGGGTGGGGGTATGGGACCCGCAGGTCCCTGGAAACAACAACATAAAGTATTTGCTTTTGGGCTCGCAGGCCCCAATGAACGATGCGGACTCGCAGGTCCCACGCATTCCAAACAGCTAATAATGAGTACCTTTGTCCCATGTGTTGCGCTCTTTTTCTTTTTTTTTTTTTTTATTTATATTGATAATTTGTTACAGTTTTTATTGCATAACATGTGAATAGATTGGTGGGAACTCGTAGGTTTTCGACCTGCTTTACATTATTAGGTCTTGTGAGGTGCCTAGATTCTCATGAGCAAGGCATAAAATAAGATACGAAGGTCCCTAGGTATCCTAGTCAGATGGCTCATAACTTGAAAACGTAAACTATCAAAAGAAAACTAGTATCGAGTGGACAGATAGAGGAGCACAAAACATTGTGTTCCGATAAAGTAATGTCAGTTTGTCGTGTAACATGTCTGAGTTGCGGGATTACGGCCGTCAGGCCGTCCCTAATTCTGTCTGCAGTCGCTTGCCGGAGTTCAGGTGGTGAGTGTAGTAGCGTGTGGGTACCCTAAGCCGTTAGATGTCGGCGTGTGTGTGTGTGTCCGTGTGGTTGGGGGAGGACCGTGTCCCTTCGTTTGTGGGGTGTATTGACTTAGCTTCCCTGTGTGGTTATCAGGTAACATGTGAGGGTAACGTTCTGCTTTGACCCTGGTAGTTTCTTTGATGTGGCATGTCATGTGTGGTGAAGCTACTAGAGTCAGGGTAAGTATATCTTCTTGTGTGTGTTCCCCTTGTCCAGGCTGTTGGCACACCGTGACCCGGTCGTTGGGGTCTTTTTTTAACCTTAGGGTATGGTACGTGCGCCGCGTTGTCACCCATGAACGTCTGTTTGTTTTAGTATGTTCTAGAGGTGGCTTGTGTGTATATTCATGTTGATCGATTCCCTTAATCCTCCCCAAGTGGTCGGGTCCTGTATGCCGGTTAGTGGGCTTGGTCCCCTGGGTCGGGTCGGTCATGTGGTGGTTTTCCTTGTGGGTGTTCCGTCTTGTGGCAGGCGTGCGCGGCCCCTACCTCACCCCTGCCCCCGCTCCGCCGGCGTGGCCGCCTGTACCCCCGGTCTCCCGTCTCTCGGCAACATGCCCCACCCACGGCCCCCATCGTTCCACGTATTTTTCACTTTGTCCCATGAGAGACGCCCTCATCTTTTCTGCGGAGCGGATCTCCTCAACTCTGTCGTACCATTGGGTTAGCGTTGGTGGCTGTGTCTGTTTCCACATCGCGGGTATGAGTGCTTTAGCTGCATCCAGCATATGTCGCAATATGGATTTTTTGTATTGTGAGATTGGTTGTGGGGTCGAGTGTAGTAAGTATTGTTCCATGTTGAGGGGGAACGGTTCTCGGAGGATCTCAGTAATTTTTGTGCTGATTTGGGACCAGAACGGCTGTATGATTGAGCAGTTCCACCAAATGTGGCTGAGGGTACCTTCCTCCTCTCCACACCTCCAGCATATGGATGGGACATTGGGAAATATCCTATGAAGACGTGTTGGGGTTTTGTACCATTGTGATAAGAGTTTGTAATTGACTTCTTGAAATCGGGTGCTGACCGAAGATTTATGGTGTAAGATGAGTATTTTTTCCCATTGGGTGGGGGTAAATTCCTGGTTTGTGATGCTTTCCCATTGCGTCTTAAATGTGACTATTTCTGTGCGGTCACCTGTGAGGACGTATTGGTAAAGGTATGAGATCGCTTTGCCTAAACTCGTTTTGGTAAGACACAATCTCTCAAATTGCGTTAGGGCCCTGTGTAAGGCTGTTCTATCTCTGAATGAATGGTAGAAATGTTTTAGTTGAGTATGGCGGAAGACTTGCTGTAGGGTCGGGGTTTGTGTATTGATGAGTTCTGAGAGCATTTTCAGGGTGGCGTTGCCCAGGACATTGTGGAGTGGTACGTATTCCTGTTCTTGTTCTCCCAGGATTCCCCAGGCCCCGGCAGTGATGCCCCCTCCTATGGAACGATTGTTGGTGATAGGGGTCAACGGGCTTGGTGTCGGGGATATGTGTTTGGCTTTTCTTGTTGTGTCCCACGTATGTAAGGTGTGGGCCATCGGTGAGGTGCGATCGGGGTCTTTCCGTGTCGTGGTCTTGGTCCCCCATACGATTTCTGGCATAGCTGCACAACCCCCACTCTCCATCAGCGGGATCCATTGTTTATGTGATGGGCGGGTGTGCCATTCTAGTATGCGTTGCAACGCGGTGGCCTGGTGGTATTTTTTCATGTCCGGGAGTGCGAGGCCGCCCTGGTGGCGGGGAAGGCACAGGGTGTCGTGGCTGATCCTGGGTCGCTGACCTCTCCATATGTATTTAAGAATTGCCGATCTGAGGGAGGAAAAATATGCCGTGGGTATCGTCATTGGTAGCGTTTGATATAGATAAAGCAATCGGGGCAGTATATTCATTTTCACTACCGCGATGCTCCCCAGCCAAGATATGTGTTGGGGGTTCCAATCACACAGATCCCGCTGTATTTTGGCTAGCAACGGTATGAAATTTGACGTGTATAGATCCAGTGGATCTCTAGTGAGCCATATTCCTAGGTACTTCATCCTGGTCTCACACCAGTGGAACTGGAAATGTGTACGTAGGCTGTCGTTTTCTTCGCTAGGTATCGAGATATTAAGGACCTCGCATTTTGATAGGTTTAGTTTAAGGCCGGATATGTCTCCATATGTTTCAAATTCTTTGAGGAGGCACGGAAGGGAGATTCTGGGTTGGGAAACAAAAAATAACATGTCATCTGCATACGCTGCGGTTTTATGCACTGTCCCATCAGAGCGGAATCCCTTGATGTCTTCATTGTGTCGTATTGCTTCAAGCAGCGGTTCTAGTGTCAGGGCGAAAATTAACGGGGACAGGGGGCAGCCCTGCCTTGTTCCGTTCCGGATAGGGAAGGGGGTCGTGAGCGCCCCGTTCACCCTGACCCGTGCGTTCGGCCGGCTATAAATGGCCGCGATCCAGGTGAGCAGGTTGATTCCAAATCCCATCTCCCTGAGCAGCTCCAACAGGTATGTCCAGTCCACCCTGTCAAACGCCTTCTCTGCGTCGGTGGACAGAAGTAGCAGTCGGTCCCCCGTGCGTTTGGCCAGGTGTTGGATGGAGAGAGCCCGTAGTGTACTGTCGCGGGCTTCTCTGCCCGGGACGAAGCCCGTTTGGTCAGGATGGATTAGTCTGGGTAGGAACGAGTTGAGGCGGCTCGATAGAACCTTGGTGAATAATTTGAGATCAATGTTCAGGAGAGAGATTGGCCTGTAACTGCTGCATTGTTCGAGGTCCTTTCCCGGCTTAGGGAGGATGGTTATGGTTGCTGCCAATGTGTCATCGTGAAGCCCGTCGCCCGACGTGATTGCATTCACGGCTGCGGTTAATTTTGGGATGAGTATGGGCCCGAATTTCTTGTAGTATTCGAGGGTAAACCCGTCGGGTCCCGGGGCTTTACCCGTCTTTGTCGTTTTGATCGCTGCTCTAATTTCTTCTTCAGTGATGGGAGCATCCATGCATTCGGCCTCGTCGCGGGTGACATGCTTGACTAAATGTCGCGTGAGGTATTGTAGAATCTCCTGTTTTTTAACATGTGTCGTTGTATCAGGGGATTGTGAGTGTAGATTATATAGGTGAGTGTAGTAGGTTCGAAATTCGTTTGCTATGCTTTCGGGGTGTTGGGTCGTCCGCCCCCCGGGTAGTTTCAGCTTGTGTACTTGCGCTGGTGCTTGTTGGCCTTTAAGCATACGGGCTAGAAGTTTACCCCCTTTGTTCGCGTGTATGTAGTAAAAGGCGGTCGACCTCTGCAGTTGCCTGTAATGTTTCTTGATTAATAGATCATGCAATTGGCTGCGCAGGTCCAGCAGTTCCCTATAGGTGTCCTCCTTGAGCGTTTGCTTATGGCGTTCCTCGATGTCCCTGATTTTATCAAGGAGGTCTGCCATCTGTTGTTGGGCCTCTCTTTTCCTTGCCGTTGCTAGTTGGATTATATAGCCGCGTACTACGCATTTATGGGCTTCCCATATGGTGGTGGCTGGGGTGTCTCCGGTTTCGTTATGTAGGAAGTATTCATTCAGTGCTTCCATAATTTTGTCCCTAGTAGTTACGTCTTCTAACAGGGTGTCGTTGAGCCTCCAAGTCATCACCTTCGGTCTTATTAACGGGGAGTCTAGTTCTAGAGTAACCGCCCCATGGTCGGACCACGTGGCTGCGTCGATGGTTGCCCCCTGCAGTGCGGTGAGTTGCTCCTGTTGGAGGAACACGTAGTCAATCCTCGAGTATCTCTCATGGACCCTCGAGTAGTGTGTGAAATCCTTGACCGTGGGGTGGAGGGCTCTCCAGCAGTCCACCAATCGTAGGCTTCGGAGGGCTCGTAGAGTGGTTCGGATGTCTCTTTGTGGAGCGCTACTGCGTCCTGCGGAGGTGTCCACAGAGGGGTCCAGGGGGATGTTGAGATCTCCCCCTAGTATAAGGGTCCCCTCCGTGAAGTCAGTCAACAAGCGCAGTGTTCTGCGAATGAACTGCGCCTGATTCCGATTAGGGGCGTATATACTCGCCAGGGTGTAGGTTCTGTTCATTATTGTGCCCTTCAGGAAGATGTAACGCCCTTCTGTATCCACGATTTTATCCGTTTCCGTGAATCCCAGCCTCGTGGCGAGAAGTATTGCTACTCCTGCCTTCTTAGTGGAGTGGTGGTTGCTGAAGTACGTGTGGGAGTATGATCTGTCCTTCAGGGCCGGGGCCGAGTCCATTCGGAAATGAGTTTCCTGGAGTAGGGCAATCGAGATACGTTTTTGTCGGAGTTCCCGCAGGAGGTGCGTTCTTCGCTCTGGGATATTCAGTCCCCTGCAGTTATGGGTAATTATGCGCAGTGGGCAAGGCCGGTACGCCGATCTTGTTGGTGGGGAGGCTCGCGGTGGGCGTACGCAGCACGGGCGGACCGGGAGGCCACCGTCCGCCATAGTATATCGTGTCTCGGACCCAGCGGCCAGGTGCCGGGGAAGCAGGGGGAGACGGCAGCGGGCGCCGAGAACACGCTCTGCCACCTGGCGGTCTCGCGTGGTGTGTGGGCAGTCGTGTATGTGCGGTGTATTCGTGTCAGTGGTTGAGTATAGTGGAATCGTCTACCTTGCTCCGGCAAGGAGGCCTGTGTGACCACGGATGCAGGCGGCGGCGCCCCTGGTTCGGGTATATCCCCGTCCTGGGCCCGCCTACTCACCGCCGTAACAATTGTTCACACAGGTGGTGTGGGGTGTGTGTCTCCCTCCGCCCTGGCGGCAGGTATAGTGGATTCAAGTGTTGTTAAGTGTTCCGCCCTCCCTTGGAGGTATGTCCCTGTGGTAGAGTGAGTTCCGACTATAGTGAGGGTCCTCCACCATATGAAGTTGTATACGTGTCGCAGCCTGCTTTTAAGTGTGCTCTGTAGTTATCTATGAGTTCAATTGTGTAGTCCGGTACTCGCGTGTAGCCGTATGGCCTAGTCGTCGCCTCTCCCGCACCCTAATGTGTTGAGATCTGATAGTGTCAGCGATGCATTCTACCCGTCATATCTTATGCCCCTGTCGTCGTGGAGACCGTCATTCCCCGTGTGGCCAAGTACCCAGGGGGGGGGATGGGGTGTTCTAGATGTTACCTGTTCGTGGCCGTGTTTTATAGAGTGTGGTTAACATGCCTTTCACGTGACAGCTGTTGGTATCTATTAGGTCGTGAGTGGCCCTGAACTGCGTTACATCGTCGCTACGTCATGCCCTCACCAGGGAGGATCTCCGGGAGCATTCACAATGTGGAGTCAGTTAGGTAAGCTGTCTGTTCAGACCTGTTTATCGGGAGCTCCTTGTGGTGGGCCTTCGTCAGCGTATTTGGGCGTTGAACAATTTCTGGTGCGTCTACAATTACATTCTTATACATCCCCCTGCCTAAGAGTGGTGCTCGCGTTACCAGTTTCTCCCTGCGGTTTGTAATGCTGTAAACCATTATCTCGGATTTCTAGCCCTCTGGATACCTAGCGGGATGCCTCCACCGCTATGTAGCTGACTGGAGGTTGGATCGTGGAGTATGCGTCCATGAGAGTACCAGTTATTAAGTTCCCTATGTTCCCCTCTGGCCGCATGAGGGGTGGCAGCGCCTAGTACCTAAGTGTATAGTTCCTGGTGGCCTATGTCAGGGCGTCAGCGGCTTGGACTAGTCCGGGGGGGGGAGGGTGGTCCATGGCGGGGGGGGTTGAGGGTGAGAGTCCCCCGTTGCTGCCCCTTCCGAGGGGGGAGTTGGAGCCCAGAGTAAGCTATCGTGGTGTGGGGTAAGTCGTTGTGCAGTTTGCAAGAAGGTGCGTTGGCCCCTGAGGTTAACATCGGGCAGTCTCAGTTTTACAGGACTCTGCATTTAATAGGACTATTTTTAAAATAGAGTTTGACATACGGTCCAGTGGTGAGATGAAACCTGCTTACTGTTAGTTATAAAAATCCATAAAAGGAACAGACAATTGGAAAGTTCATGACTGGGATGATTATGACTCTGTCAATTCACTTTAGAGGCATGGATCTAGGCACTAGCCTGTTCCACCGTAGCCATGGATAAAAAAAAGGGTATTAATAAAGGAAAATCCCTTCCGTTCACCGAGAGCATCCAGTGGTCCGCGCCCATGGTTGTCACCATATGACGTGCACGCAGTGAATGCCCCGGTATCGACTTCCCATCCAAGGTGAAGATTTCTACTCCCTTCGTCCCCCCACCCAAGTGTGTGCTTTGACCCACCCGTCAGGTAGTCCCCTCTATGGACGGCTCTTCCATTTTTTTTTTTTTTTATTATTATTTTTTTAATATAGCCAATCCCCTTTCGTGTGCTGTAGCGTGCTGTCCCCCATTTCATGTCCCCTCCCCCCCCGCCAGTTCCGTGACCTCCCGTAGCTTGAGTCTCTGGGTCAAGTTGCCCTTGTCCGGTTGGGCAGGACTCTGGGGTTTCGGGATGAATGTGGTTGGTTGCCCCCTCCCCTCCAAGCCCCCCACCCAAGTGGTGAATGAGTGTATTGTCCCGTGCATTGTGAGTCATCCCTGTGGGGACGGTAGTCTCGTGGCTTACCGGGGTTCATGGTTGCCAGTCCCAGACGGGGTCAGCACTTGGCGGGGCAGGGCATCTGCAGACGGAAGCTCGGCTAGGACGGGTTAGCTGGGTAGGTGCCGGAGAGGCGCGCAGGCCGCACAGCGTGCAGCTTACTGGCGGTGTGTCGTGCGGCTACTCTTCGGGTTGGGCCGGGTCTGGCCTCCATCCGTGGTCTTGTGGGTCTCTGCCTCTGCGGCGTGGCGGTCTCTGCGGCTGTGGTCGGAGCTCCAGTGGGTGAAGGATCCAATTCTGTACCGTGATGTTAGGAATTTCCAATTTTTGTAGGAAGGCAGGTATGTCTTCTGGGCACCGGGCCGAGATTAATTCATTGTGGCGGCGCACGTTGATGCTGAAGGGATATCCCCATCTATACGGGATGTTTCTGTCTCGCAGTGCCGAGGTCACCGGTCTCAGGGCGCGCCTCGCGTCGAGGGTGAGTGGAGATAAATCATTGTAGAGGGTGACTTCTGCGCCTCTGTACGTCCAGTGGGCGCGGGAGCGGGCCTTCAACATTATTTGTTCTTTCAACGTGAAGGAGTGGATGCAGCACACTATATCTCGCGGGGTGCCATCCGCCGTGCGCGGTCTGAGGGCTCTGTGGGCCCTATCGAAGCGGAAGTGGTCCGGTGCCTCCTCACGGAGGATAATGCGGAAGAGCTGGGTGAGGGATTCAGCAATGTTTTCCCCTGCGCCATCCGCCTCCGGCACACCGCGCACCCGGATGTTATTGCGGCGGCCCCTGTTGTCCAGGTCCTCCAGGTGCCGTCGCATTGCCAAGATCAAGTCACCTTGCCTGCGTATCGCTGTGTCTGTAGCTTGCCATTGCGACTCCGCAGTTTCAGCGCGCTGTTCTATGGCGGTGATACGCGTGTCCTGGCGCGCTATATCTGATTTAATGCCGGCTACTTCAGCTTTCAGTGCAGCATGCAGAGTGTCTGAAGCTCGGGTGAGGTCCTCTTTTGTGACCATCAGGGCTGTCATGCGCCTCAGTTCTGCCCCTATATCTGCCAGAGTGACTTGCTCCCCGGAGCATGTGGACGCAGGTGAGGTCGGCGCCATGTTGGGAGTGTGGGGCTCGTGCAGCGTGCTTACCGGGGTGCCGACAAATCCGTCCATCGGACCCGTTTTTTGAGGTTGCTGCTTGGTCCTGGAGGCTTGTGGGGTGTCTTGCCGCCTGGTTCTGCCCATTGATGTGCGGTGGTCGGGCATACGGGTGCTGTTTGCTGCTGGGTGGTAAGGAGCCGCGGGGTTAGGCTGCCGCCATGTTCGGAGTCCAGGACACGCCCCCGAAAATGTGTTTCTTGTATGGACAGGGGATGCAGCATCTCTTGAACATATGTTCTCCCAAGACCTATTCGTTTTACATACTGGTACAGTCCACTTGAAATCGAGTGTGACAGACCACCTGGCACCCCGACTGGGTACCTCCGCCAATCGCAGCTTCCTAGTGCTCACCGAGTACTCCAAGCACTCCACCAGACACCATTAGCACTGTAGACCCTTAGCTGGCGCAGCTTGGCTGAGGTCTCTCCGTCCTCCACCCTCCCTGGACCCACGTCAGGGATTCAGCTTCCAGTGGGTAGACCTCTCCAACTCAAGAGAGTATAGCAGGATAGCTCTTATATAGATTGTATAGCCTTCTCCCACAGACATGAGACAAGGCTCTATGCTGGGGACGAAGTGGAACTGGTTTAATGGGAACCATATGCGGCTTTTTATGCAACTCTCCATGCAAGGGGTTTCCTTAATCACATTCCAGGGGCATTTAACACTGGACCTGAGATGAAACTAGTTACAAGCAAACATTCCACACACTCCTCCCCTGTGCCTGAGAGATAATTACCTGAGCACACAAACATATAATTAAATTATCTCTCAGGTACAAAAACATACAATTTAACAAACCCCAAAAGCACCCCCAAAACACATGAAAACCCCACGATAGCCACGATCTGGTGACAAACGTATCCAAAAATCATCCAGATCGGTTCAGGGGTTCGGGATTTTCATGGAAGTCAATTATTCACACTCAGGAGGGAAGCCCAACGGCACCAGGCAGCCACCAGCCTAATCCCTGGCAAGGTTGGAACCAGCCATTAATCGAACTTAGGTTCAGCTGGTTAGCCATTCTTATATTTGATTTTTCCATGAGCATGGGGCACAGGAGGTTCAAACCTGTTCTTTTTAAAGTTTTCTCTTGGTATTATCTATACAGTGTGTGGTACCCAGTGGAATATTAGCCTGTATTAGCATGTTAACTTGATATGATACTCATACCTCCATGTCTGGCTAGTTATGCAAGTCTGAAAACTAAATGTATGCATTTCTAGTTACCTCTCTTATGCTAGCTTATGTTCTGATCTCTAATAGCTAGACTTGACTGAATAGCCTAAACATACTTTCATTAAAAAAAATGTGCAGATACTCTAAATCTTTCACCAATTATACGTTACTGGCTTGTTATCTATATAAAATATAAAATGTGCAACTTCTTAGCTTGATAAATCTAGCGATTGTATAAAATAAAAATTGTGCGATTATGCATGCCACTGTCAAACTCTTGTATATGCTGTTCTACGTTAATACATGCTGTTGTGGCGTTTGAAGTAACTCTGTACCCACCCGCACTACAAAAATAAAGAATAAAAAAAAACAAAAAACACTGAATGGAATACTTAAATTACTTATGTAACCTGTTCCCTTTGTTCGTGGGAATGCTTCCTCCGAACAGTGCCTTTCTAAGTGGGGTAGAACCGAACGCAGGCGATGACGGAAGTCCAGCAGTGTTCGGTAGTTTCTATATCCGATTTTAGGAACAAGATGCCCGCCACCTCGTGGTCGTTTATATGAAATGCGGCCACCCAGACTAACACTTAGAACACTGCCGTGGAAATTGCTACAAAGTATCAATTGGGCTTGACAAGCTCCCGGGTTGTCTCTGGTTCATGCGGCTGTTTGGTTCCTGAACCATATAATCCCAATTGCACGAACAGAGCCTTTTAAAAAAGTATATTAGCCAAGGTTTATTGCAGGGGCCATAGACCTGAGGCAGGAGGCTGGCAAGAAGGAGCCCGTGGCGAGGTTCTGTTCTACACATCGAGTTTCTGGATCTGTTGAATTTTGTAAATGTAAAGAGACTGGTTATATGCAGGGCCGGATTAACATAGGGGCTGATGGAGCTGCAGCTCCAGGCCCATGACAATGGAATAGGCCCATTGCTATAAATATTACTCTTCATATGCTCTTGCTTAAAGGACCACTCCACACTTAAGAAAAAGAAAAAAAAAAAAAACACCACACACCAAATAAACTCATAGTTTAGTAGATATACCTCCAATGAATACATGCATGCATAGTTTTTGTGCATGTATTCATTGGGAGTATAGTCTAAAAGAGCTCCAGTTCTTATGACTGCAGCCTTTGTAAGTTCTTCCCTTTTTCACCAGAAGAGACTTTGTCTCTTCACAGGAAAATAACCAGAGGCTTCTCATAGAGAAGCCTCTGACTTGGTCCCCACATGCTCACGCGCCAACTAGTACGTGCACGAACACCTGAAGCAGAGGAGCTGGTCTAAAGTCTGTTAGGGAGAGGGAGGCACTCAAGTAGAGCATGGCTGCCACTTCAGTTAGTAGGAAGGAATACTCCCCAGCGTTTCGATTGACTTCCCTAGTTAATTTAGAAAAGTGCAGATTTCTCACAGAAATCAACTCTTTTATAAACTGGGGTTAAACTAGGGTAGCTGAAGTGCTAAGGTGTCAAATGGTTCTTTAAGTATGAAAACTTAAGAGGGGTGTAAGGGAACAAAACTGGTGTGGACTGACTGACAAGGAAATTGGTTAAGGTAAAGCTGACTGCGCACTATGCAAATGCTATTGCTGCTTAAATCTATGTAACTCTGTGGCATGTTCCCTTTTTCTACACTTACCACATACACAATTCCTCTTTCCCAGACTGTATAACAGGAGCTTCTTCCTGCTAGTAAGGAGAGGAGTGGACAAGTGAGTGCTAGGGGACAGTCCTTAGCTAGTGCATCATTAGATGCATTTATGCCAAGCTCAGTACAGTATGTCCTTGGTTGGTCATCCTGCATGATTGGGCGGTTCAGGTTACGCGTCAGTGGCCCATCCTTTTACCCTGCCCACGGAAATCCTGCTTTACTGGTCACTGCTGTTAGGTGTATGGATTTACATGGAAGCGAGAGATTTAACCAATTTAAAACAAAAAATATTAAATTGCACAAAATATATCCTCAACAGGCCCGGACTGGCCATCGGGCACACCGGGCAAATGCCCGGTGGGCCGCGGTGGCCGTGGGGCCGAGGCCGGCAGGGGAGGTCCCAGGATCTCCCCTGCCGGTCTTTGCAGGGCCGGCACTCTTCCAGCGCCGGCCCCACTGTTTGCCACGACGGGCCGGTGGGGAGATCAAAGCTCTCCCTCACCGGCCCACATGCGGCCGCCGGCGGGGAGGGAGGGAGCCAGCCAGCCAGGCTGGAGAGAGGACCCGGCGGAGCTCTAATTTGCAGCTCCGCCGGGTTCCTCTCGCGAGATCTGGCGCGTTGCCATGGCAACGACCGGATCTCGCGAGAGTTCACTCACCCACGAGGACCACCAGGGAACCCCGCCACCCCGCCTGCCAGGTGCCAGCGTGCCGGTTCCCTCCCCCTCCCTCTCCCAGGCTAAAGGTAAGAAGGGAGGGGGGGAATAATGACTGTTTTTTGTTTTATTTATTTTTTTTATTTACCCCCCCACACACACACAATAACATTTATACAGCACTCTCACACCCATCACACACAGCACTCTCACACCCATCACACACAACACTCTCACCCATCACACACAGCACTCTCACACCCATCACACACAGCACTCTCACACACAGCACTCTCACACACATCACACACAGCACTCTCACACTCAGCACTCTCACACACATCACACACAGCACTCTCACCCATCACACACAGCACTCTCTCACACATTACACACAGCACTCTCTCACCCATCACACACAGCACTCTCACGCACAGCACTCTCACACCCATCACACACAGCACTCTCTCACACAACACTCTCACACCCATCACACTCTCAGCACTCTCACAGCACTCTCACACACACAGTACTTTCACACACACAGCACTCTCTCACAGCACCCTCACACCCATCACACTCACAGCACTCTCACAGAGCACTCTCTCACAGAGCCCTCTCTCACACAGCACGCTCACACCGCACTCTCACACGGCACTTTCACACCCATCACTCACACCGCACCCCTCACACACACACCGCACCCTCACATACACACAGAACCCCCCAACACACTGCACCACACACATACTTTCAAATATATATATATATATATATATATACACACACACACACTACACTCTTAAAGGACCACTCTAGCCACCCAGACCACTTCAGCTTAATGAAGTGGTCTTGGTGCCAGGTCCTTCTAGGGTTAACCCATTGTTTTATAAACATAGCAGTTTCAGAGAAACTGCTATGTTTATCAATGGGTTAAGCCTTCCCCCAAAGCCTCTAGCAGCTGTCTCATTGACAGCCGCTAGAGGCGCTTGCGTACTTTTCACTGTGAAAATCACAGTGAGAGCACGCAAGCGTCCATAGGAAAGCATTATAAATGCTTTCCTATGCGACCGGCTGAATGCGCGCGCAGCTCTTGCCGCGCGTGTGCATTCAGCCAACGGGGCGGATCGGAGGAGGAGAGCTCCCCGCCCGGCGCTGGAAAAAAGGTAAGTTTAACCCCTTTCCAGAGCCGGGCGGGAGGGGGTCCCTGAGCCACATATGCATCACATTACACCACAAACACAACACGACTAAAACCGACCTTATTACACAATACCACACCACGACCAGCTCACTCTGCACACACGCAATACCACAAGCAGGCTCCAAACACATGCACAGTACTCTTTCCTGGCCTTTTTGTCTCCTGGTATCCATTTATAGAGACACCAGAGACAAGTTGCAAGGAAACACAGTGCAAGCATGTTATTAAATTTGCTTGCACTGTGCAGAACAAATACAGGACTTTTTTCTCATGCTAGAGCTCTTCAGCAGAGCTCTGCGCATGGTCTACCCTGGAAGAGCATTGAACCAACATGCTCACTTTGAGAGGAGGCGTGTTTGTCATTGGTGATGACAAAACACACCTCCTCTGCCCCGCCCCCTTTTTAGTGGGC